TCAACAACAAAAAAAAAACTCAATGTGCATAAAAGGCCCTAAAATCTGGAATTTATTACCTGTAAATATAAAAGAAACACTACCTGTTTATAAATTCAAGTCTCTTCTCAAAGATCACTTACTCACCCAAAACCAAATAAGTACTGAATAACTGAACCTTATAAATTGTATATCTTAAATGTTTCTCACAATTATATCACATAAATGTTAAACCTAAGACCCAATCTAACTTTGTTATTTTTTAAATACACTAACAGAATACTCCATTCGACTGAATGTACAGGCACCCATATGACCTGTCTTTGTAATACTCATTTGTGCTTTATTGTTATCTGTTTACAATAATGTTTTATCACTGATTACATCATTGCTTAGTTAATCTTAAGTTAATTTTAAGCCAGCCCGTAATGCTATGCATACAAGTGGCTTTGGCATGCTGCTCTTACCTGTATTTTTTTGTACCTCTGTATGTATGCTCAAATTACTAAATAAATAAACAAATAAATAAGAGCAATAAAATCACAGTCCCCGTCACTATCATCATTACTAAAGTCAGAGGCCTGGCCATGCGAAAATAATAGTTTTCTCTTGCATTGAGGTATAACTGACCCTGACTGACGAGTGCCCACACCAGAGGTAGATTGTTGAGGATCGTTAGGGTTTTCTGCACTATTATCGATATCCTGGTCATTCCTTTCAGTCACTAACTGATCAAAGCCAAAGAATTCGTCTTCATTTCCACTTCCATCACTGTCAGAACTATCAGAGAGGAAGAGGAGAGTCCCAATTTTCCTTGGAGTGAGAGCTGCCTTGCGACAAGGCATGGTGAACAAGGGTAACTGAGCCGGCGTTCCCACAATGCTATGCGGGCGCCTAGATTTTTTGTTTGTGGCGCACACCCACCACGCAGACCCGTTCTCTCACATGTAGGCCTATGAGCATTTTCGCGCTAAATTTGATGGCGCTAGAATTTGGCATAGATTTACAGTATGGACACTCAATGTGAAGCCGTAGATCTACGGGACGGACCCTGAAAGGGTTAATTTAAGAAAAATACATAACATAAGGTGGCTAATTCTCACTAGTAAAATCACACATGCTGAGGTAGTTGATTTTGATTATTAACTCTTTCAGGGTCGGCAGGCCCTCTCCTAAACTTGTTCTCAGTCGGAAATTTTTTGAAAAAATGAAATGATAGAGAATCATTTCCTGGTCATAATGACACCAAAAGTATGAAATTTGATGAAAAACTTATGGAATTATGCTCTCGCTAAGTTTGCAGTCTTGACGATGTTTATGCAGTAACGATTTCGCCCACTTTGAGCCCTATTTTCGGCCAATTCCAATGTACCAGTCAACAAAAATCATAACTATTTCGCTAGAACTCCATTTTTTCTATTGAATGAGCACACGAAACCACCCATTTACCGATTTGAGCTATCCAATAAAGTGGTCAGAAATTGGCAATTTTGCCAACTTCACACAAATTTCAAAAGATGTCAATTTCCAAATAGGGTCTAAAATAAACAATACAGACATTCCTGGCACTAAAATAACATCTCTGTTCATTATTCACATCCCCAGGCCTCTGTTACATTTCTTTTGCTTTCCACTTTGAATTTTTATTCTCACAAAAAATAGAAGATTTACTGTTATGCAGACTACTGCATTAGTGTAGAAATGGTATAAATAATATCAGCGCACTTGTGAAAGAATATTAGACTCACCAGTTGACATGTATTGGATGCATGGCATAATTTGTTTACTTTTGAACTTTGGCAAAAATCAAACATTTCTGCTACTTAGAGCTCAATTTTTAGGTACTTTTCATTGTGAAACCAATGAAAATCATCTCAATTTCCATATAATTTTATAATATGAGACCAGGAAAACTAGAATACAACCATAAATCGCATACGAAAATACACTGCGAAGTCGCTGTTTTAAACCAAAAACATGGTCGGAGTTTTTTCTCATTATGCACTGTGTGCTGCAGGATTTTTTTTGTACCACACACACTGACCACATAGACCCATTCTTTCAAATGTAGGCCTACCAGCTTTCGCTAGATTTGAAGGCGCTAGAATTTATGCATACTAGTACGGCACCAACTCTAGTGTGCAAGCCATGCTAATACGGCACCAACCCTGAAAGGGTTAAGAGATAGTACTTTGAATTTGTACAATAATGGAGCCAAATATACACTACAACGTAGGCTTTTGGTTTGGATATTGTTTAATCAGTCTCTGTAAGATTAGTATCCCAAAGGAATCGTGATAGTTCATTCTCATTTGAGATCATATACAATTTGCCTACATTTGTTTTCTTCACTAGAATTTTCCTGTCCCTTGTGAAGCATTGGTGGACTTTGTCAGTATTCTCCCGCATAAGTTTTCTGAGTCTATACAGGAGGTTCTGCCGTATTTTGGTTAGACATTCGTTTATGTATACATCTTTTTTTGCTTTAATAGTTGCGCTAATTAGGTCTTTTTTCCTGTCGTGTGTGGGTAAATGAGGACTGCTAACTATTACTGCATCTGATAATTTTTCTTGCTCAGTTTTGTCCTCTTGGAGTGAGAAGTAGTCACTGAACTTGTTATCCAAGTTGTTCTTCCACTCTTTTACTGCTTCCTCAACCTTTGTATTAAGTGATTATTATTATTATAATCAAAAAGAATTTGTATTAAGAGATGTTATTTGTTCTGTGTGCCTGTCTATGACTGTTTGGAGGGTCTTGGCAAAGTTTAGTCATTCCAGATGGTGATAAATTTTGTTCAAGGCTGAGGATTTTGTTCTCCAGGTGTGTCATCCTGGTGTCTTGTTTAGTTAACGTTTCACAAAGATTCATATTTTCTGTAATTAAGGTGGAGATGTATGACTTAGGGGTGTCTGGATCGTTGGTCATACCTGAGAAACTACCTGTTTGGCTGAATCCAGAGAAGAAAAAGGAGGTTGAGGGGGAGGCAGTCATGTTCAGTGTTTTTGTTGTGGCGTCGCCCTGGGCAGTGGTGCGAGGGGGGGTAGGGGAGTCGGCGTCCTGGGTAGACAAGTTGAATAGTCGAGTTTTCAGTGTTTTCTTGCTGGTCCTGGTGTTGTTTCCTCCGAGATTATGCTTCATAGTAATGCAGAATCATCATTATCATTATTATTATTATAATAAAAAAAGAAGTGCTAAACCTACAAGGGTCATACAGTGCTGCCGGGCAGGAAAGGATGCAGGGGTATTGGGTAGCAAGAGGGAGAGGGATGATTATTAGGTCATGGAGTGCACCGGGGCAGTAGATAATGCAGGAGTAGAGGGTAGCAAGAGGGAGAGATAGAAAGGGCTGTGAGGAGTACTAGAAGCATCATCATCATCAGAGTTTGTGCAGTAAATCAGTTGCTGTCAAAAAGTCAGTGAGAGAGTCTGAGTTAAAGGAGGGTCCATCAGCAAGAAGGGAAAGTGAAGTAGGGGCAGTAGAGCGGTGACAATGTTGGAGATAAATTCTACGTGCTCGTTAATAGAGTGGGCAGTCCAACAGAATGTGGCTAACAGAAAATGGAACCTGACAATTATCACAGAGTGGAACAGGGCGCCTCTCCACGAGATACCCGAGAGTAAGACGAGTGTTGCCGATGCAAAGATGGGACAGAGTAGTCTCCCAACCTCGACACTGATAAGAAGATGGGCAGAAACCTATACTCGGTTTAATAGAATGTAGTTTATTATGGACCAGATCAGACCAACATTGTTGCCAATGGGTGTGAAGGTGGATAGCAGTTACAGCAAAATAGTGAATGGAACACCTCTATATGAAATTAGGAGGTCATGTACTGCTCACCACGCAGCAGTGTCTGCCTGTTCATTGCCCTGTACGTCAACATGACCGGGGACCCAACAAAAAACAATACATATCTTTGTGCTTGCTAGAGATACGGTGTAACCAAAGTTAGATATGAAGGACCAGGGGATGAGGTGTATCAAATTTTCATATAGCCTGTAAAGCACTAAGGGAGTGTGAAACGACCACAAATGGTGACACAGGCATAGATGCAAAACAGACAAGCGCTATGAGAATGACATACAATTTAGCCATAAAAATGCTAGCCAGGGTTAATAAGTGCCCTCACATGCTGCTGTCCAGAAACACTGCTGCGAATCCAACACCATCAGAAGACTTGGAACCATCAGTGTACACTGTGATGGCATGAGAATGAGATTGGAAGTGGTTAAAAAAAAGAGAGAGAGATGCCACCATAGGCAGTTGGGCTTTCATGCATGTCAGTGGGAAAGAACAGATACGAACTGTCAGAACTTCCCAAGCGGGCAGGGAAATGTGAGATGCTACATGAACACAGAAAGGTGGTAACTGAAGAGAAGACGAGCAAATCTAGGCAAAGAGAAAAGGAACAGAGTAAACATGGGCAACAAGTAATGTATACAGGAGGAGTTACTAGCCCCTTGCTACCTGCATTTTAGTCACCTCTTACAACACCCATGGCTTACAGAGGAAGGATTCCTCTTCACTTCCCCATGACCCACATATTTTCTGTTCACGAGCTTTTCTTGGAATTTATCCATTGTAAATACTGTTGATTACCACATACATTTGTGTATTGCATTTTGATTACTAATACTTAAAGGATTTCCTTAATATCAACATTGGGAATTTCATTCATCTGTTTCATTTCATGTTCATGGCTTGCTGGTATCTGTCAAGATCAGGAGTACACTTTCTTCACATGTTCAGTTACCCTGCCATTCATAATGTTTCTCATCTTCCATAATTATTTTTCTATTTTTCTATTTTTGCACAATACTAATGTACCAAGTATTTAAAATCACTTTTCTGTTCTTTCAAAAACCTGCAGAATGCTTTTTGCCATCCTTTACAAAAAAAAATTCAAATTTTTGTTTGATTTATCCAAAAACTTTTTTGGTTTTCCTTAGCTCAAATTCTTTACCTGCAGGAGCATAGGCAGAAAATTTTATTTAAGAATATATAATAATACTTAGAAACTTTAATTTCTCTTAATTACAGCTAAGATGCTAGATTATCTGCAGGAAGATCTTGACTCAATGCACAAGGAACTTGAGATGTGGCGCAGTGAGAACAAACAGTTGACACAGACTCTCAAACGTGAACAGAGGTAGAGTACAATCATAGCTTTCAGTTGCATGTTATCTTTTGATTAAACTGCTGCACAGATGGATTTTGACATGCTATGCCAAGCTTATATGGCTCTCATATAATGTTCTAAGTTATTTGCCTCCATTATGAAAACTTACACATAGTAATTTGGTATACAAACACATTTGGAAAAATGTAAAAAAAAATATTCTGTCATACTTGATAACTTAGAGATGGGATTCCTGACACAATGAGATCTATGCTGTAGCTTACTTAGTTTATACTTAAATCCAACACTTGAGTTATTGTAGCAGTGTATGAAGTATTTTCTCCTAATAACTCGCCAATAAGCTAGACAGGAAATGGTGGTTACTTACTAGAATACTGTATTTATAAAATAATTGTTCATACTGTTGGATTTTGTAACTAAATATTAGGTGTCATTCAATAGAATATATACATAAAGACTAAACTAGTGGTTTTAAAGAAAATTAATATTTTGTTTTTTTATAGCTTAACAGAACACGAACTGGAACCCTTGCAGTCTCAACTAGTTGAGCTTGAGACAGCAGTTCAAGACCAACGTGATAAACTGTCTGCTATCAAATCCAACATTTTGAGGAATAATGACAAAATATCACGGTTAATGGCTGGCATAAACTTAAATATATAGTACTGTGTGGCATATCGTGCACATACTGTGTTTAACTCCTTTTATTTATAGACTAGTCATTGAATAGTATGTATGTAATAATTATTCGTGGAATGCAGAATCTCTAATGAATTAAACTCTTATTATATTATTAATAGGGATTTATTTACTTAAAATATATTTTCTAACACCTAGATGAGTATAGGTATTCCTCGCTCTATGCTGATTTTTTTTTTGAGAATTTGCTTACATGTGACCACCCCATTCCTACTGGTTCAGCAATTGCCTCAAGATGAAACTCATTGGTGTAATCAGTTTGGTGTACATTTCTGTAAATCCTGCCACTTAGCATGCTGTCACTTCAATTTTTTTTTGTTACTATATTTTGTACATATTTTATACATGTAGGGCATACTATTTTATTTTTTAACATAAAAAAATGTGGAATATTTTCTTAGTTTGAAAGTTGATAGCGCTGGTTGAATTTTATATATTTTCTCGGTTATTTTGACCAAGTGTGTTTATATTTTTTATATGGCTGTTTAGAATATTTGTGGTAGGCTCATATTTAAATTTATACAGTGGACCCCCGGTTAACGATATTTTTTCATTCCAGAAGTACAGTGGACCCCCGGTTAACGAACTTTTTTCATTCCAGTAGTATGTTCAGGTGCCAGTACTGACCGAATTTTTTCCCATAAGGAATATTGTGAAGTAGATTAGTCCATTTCAGACCCCCAAACATACACGTACAAACGCACTTACATAAATACACTTACATAATTGGTCACATTTGGAGGTGATCGTTAAGCGGGGGTCCACTGTATGTTCAGGTGCCAGTACTGACCGAATTTGTTCCCATAAGGAATATTGTCAAGTAGATTAGTCCATTTCAGACCCCCAAACATACACGTACAAACGCACTTACATAAATACACTTACATAATTGGTCGCATTGGGAGGTAATCGTTAAGCGGGGGTCCACTGTATATGTGGTTTGGTCATTTAGAGAGAATGGAGCAAAATAGGATGACTTGGAGGGTGCATAAATATGTAGTGAAGGGGAGGGGTAGGGGTCATCCTAGCAAAGGATGGAGGGGAGGAGGTACAAGGGGTTTTGTGTGCAAGGGGACTTGAATATACAGCAGGCATGTGTGAGCATGTTAGACAGGAGTGAATGGAGATGAATGGTTTTTGGGACCTGACAAGCTGTTGGAGTGTGAGCAAGGTAATATTTTGTGAAGGGATTCATGGAAACTGGCTAGCTGGATTTGAGTCCTGGAGGTGAGAAGTACAATGCCTGCACTTTAAAGTGGTGACATATTATTATTATAATTAAAGAAAGCATTAAACCGACAAGGGTCATACAGTGCTGCAGGGCAGAAAATAATGCCGAGGCTATAAACAGCTAGGTGGAGAGGGGATCAGAGGTGAAGGGAGAAAAGGGCTGGAGGGGATGCTAAGGGCTGTGTCAGAGTTCGTACAGTAAAGCAGATGCTAACAAAAAGTCAAAAAGTGAATGCAAGTCAAAGGCTGGGCCGTCTGCAAGAAGGGAAGATAAAATAAGAGTGGCAGGTCGGCGGCATTGTTGGAAGCAAATCCTGCAAGCTCGCTGGTAAAGCGGGCAGTTGACAGAGTGAAGAACCAAAATAGGGACCTGACATGATACCCGTGGGTAAGGCGTGTATGGCCAATGCGGAGCCAGGAGAGCACAGTCTCCCGAGAATGGCAATGGTGGCAAGATGATGACCACAAACCTAAATGCGGTTTAATAGCATGCAATTTGTTTATGGTGCATGCCTGACCACTGTTGTTGCCAATGGCTGCAAAGACAGGCCGAGATGACTGGAAAATAATCCCTGAACAGAATACCTCTACAGGAAACCGGAAGATCATGCACCGCTGACCGCGCAGCAGCATCTGCTTGTTCATTACCCTGCACACCAGTGTGTCCAGGGACCCAACAGAAAATGACATGTTTGTTTTTGCTAGCCACCATAGTTGAATATGATGGACTAATGTATGAGGGGAATCAGATTGTTTAATGGCTTGTAAAGCACTGAGGGAATCTGAAATGATCACAAATGTCGAGGGAGACATATATGTAATATGAAGAAGCGCTGTGAGGATGGCATACAACTCGGCAGTAAAATAACTAGCCGAGTTTAACAAGTGGCCTCGGGCATCATCATCATCAGGGAATACTGCTGCGAACCCAACACCATCAGAAGATTTAGAACCATCTGTATAAACAGCGGTGCCATGAGCATGTGGCTAGAAGTGCTCAAGAAAAAGAGAGCGAGAAGCAGTCATAGGCAGGAAAGCTTTGGCGCATAGTGGGGGAGAGCAGACATTAACTGTCGGAACTTCCCAAGGGGTAAGGGAAAAGGCAGACACTAAATGAACATAAAGTGGAACTTCAGAAATCAAAAGTATCACATATCGAACGTTTCTAAAATAAGACCATTTTTTCGGACAAACTGTGTCCCTATTATCGAACGCGCCCCTATTTTCAGACCACCAGGTACAGGACCTGCCCACTCTGTCCGCATCCCCGTGCAGGCGCCGTGAGCAGTCTAGCTTTGTTCATGCTTGAGTGAATACTAACCTGCGATCTCATTCACACATTTTACGATTATTTAATTGTGTTTAGTGCTTGTGGGGCTGTGAAATAAGCTGCCATGGGCCCAAAGAAACTTGCTAGCAGTACCCCTGTGGTAAAGAAAGTGAGAAACACCATAGATGTGAAGAAGGAAATAATACAGAAGTATGAGATTGGAGTGAGACTTGTTGAGCTTGCCAGGATGTACAGAGGACTGTGGACAGTTATTTTGCGAGACAAACAGACGACTGTGGAGTTATTTTGTGAGACAGACGATTGTGGACAGTTATTTCGTGAGACAGAAACAGACAACTGGAGTTTTGCGAGACGGAAACAGACAACTGTGGACAGTTATTTTGTGAGACAAACAGACGACTGTGGAGTTATTTTGTGAGACAGATGATTGTGGACAATTATTTTGTGAGATAGAAACAGACAACTGTGGAGTTATTTTGTGAGACAGAAACAGACAACTGTGGACAGTTATTTTGTGAGACAAACAGACGACTGTGGAGTTATTTTGTGAGACAGACGATTGTGGACAATTATTTTGTGATAGAAACAGACAGCTGTGGAGTTATTTTGTGAGACAGAAACAGACGACTGTGGATAGTTATTTTGAGACAGAAACAGAGGACTGTGGACAGTTATTTTGTGAGACTGGGGTCCAATGACTCGAGCTAGTCCTAGTGGCATTAAAATACAGAGAAGGGAAGCAACCCCACCCCAGAGAGGGCTTTGATATCGGAAGTCCTCATGGAGGGGGATTCTCCTTCCAAACAATAACCCCAACTCCCTCTCTCCTCCTCCCTATCTTCCAGATGCCATCACCAATCTTCAATAAAGGTAAGTAAAAATTTTATTTTATATTACTATACATAATTAAAGACTATAGCATTTGTTGTATGTAAAACTGTAATTAATCTCTATAAAATGTATTTTTTTTGTGTGAATATTTTTGGGTTTCTGGAATGGATCAATTGTATTTCCATTATTTCTTATGGGAAATATTGCTTCGAATTTCAGACTTTTCGAATTTAGAACTAGCTCCTGGAACGGATTAAGTTCGAAATTTGAGGTTCCACTGTACAAGGGAAGCAACTAGAGAGAAGACCGGAGTGAAGACGAAGAGAAAGCGGTCATAGTAGTCAGGGGCACTGAACAAAAAATGGGCTTCTACTAATGTCTGAGACTAACCTATACATAGAAGAAACACGAAGATCATGAGTGTGGACAAAATAATGAAGACAATGAGCATCACGATGCTCATCTATGGAAGGAACATTTCAGCAGGGGATGAATGAAAGGCACCAAGACATAAACAGAGACCTTGATAATGAAGGGGATCCTACTTAAAAAGAGTTGTAGAAGCCGCAGAATAGACTTGGTCACCATAATCCAGCTTGGACAAGACTAGGGTGGAATGCAAACAGAGGAGAGTTCAGCAATCTGCTCCCCATGAACTATGCGCGAGAATTTTAAGGAGATTCAGCCGACCATGGCAAGTTGCCTTCAAAGAAGAAATGCAAGGTTCCTATGTCAACCGGTGATCGAAGAGAATGCCAAGAAACTTGACCATATCACATTCTGGAATATGTGAGCCATGTAAGTACAATGGAGTATCTGGGATAAGAGGATGCCTAATGAAAGTAATGAAACAGGTTTTCATACTAGAAAATTTAAAGCCATGTGAAGTGGTCCAATGGGAAACTCAGTCAATCGCATCCTAAAGGGAGGCTGCTACTAGGCAACAGTCAGTGCCAGAGTAAACTATAGCAAAGTCACCTACATAAAGTGATGACCAAATATGTGATGGAAGAACAGAAGGTAGGTTATTTATAGCTAAGAGAAAAAGGATAGTGCTAAGGACAACTATGTGGGACTCCCTCAGCTTGTACAAAGTCTGAGGAAAGCGAGGCACCAACATAGACCCGAAAATGTCTGTCAGATGAGAAAGCAAGGAAGGTTGACAGATTACCTTAGAGGCCTAAAGAGTGGGCTTGGGCTAGAATGTTATAGTCCCTCCAAGTGGTGTCATATGTCTTCTCAAGATCAAAAAAGACTGCTAGGATGGAGTGTTTGTTAGCAAAGGCATTTCGAATATATGTATCTTAAGTGGAGCAAGGGGTCCAAAGTAGAACGGCCCTTGCAAAAGCCATATTGGCGAGTCTCCAAGAACCATATGAGACGTCTATTCACCAATCGTTCCATCACCTTGCAGACTTCAATGGTCAGGGCAATGGGACGATAGTGGCAGGTATCAAGCCCCGAGCTGCCTGGTTTGCAAAACAGTAGTACGATGGCAGATTTTCATTGTTGAGGGAGAACCCCTCGTGCCCAAATAAGATTGAAAAGACAAAAGAACTGGAAGGGCCGTAGAATGCAGATGTAGCATACTGATATGAATATCATCAGGTCCAGCTGCCGACGGCTGGCAAGCGGAAAGCATGGACTCTAGCTCTAGGAGAGTGAAAGGTACATTATACAGCTCCATTCCATTAGAGGAGAAATCCAAGGGCAATTGCTCCTTGACAGACTTAGATACAAGA